ATATTAATTTATTATAGGTTAAGATAATTCAATTATCTATATTTCATATATTAATTTTTGTTGATAAAAAATAGATGTTAATAACAACATTTAATGCTTAATAAAAGGGAGCTGAAATGATGATTTAACGAGAAGTAATGTACATATATTTTAGTTGAAATAAGACAATAGGGGTTAAAAAAATATGATTGGAAGGTGATGATTGATATGAATCACCGACGAATCAATTAATTCAAGGGATGATGATAGAGAGATTGAAATGGAAAAGATGAGTTTAGCCTTAATTATTTGAATTTTCTTCACCTTTAATAGTTGTGTATGGAATTAAAATTTTATAAATAAGTTTTGTAGACTTTTAAGAAAAAAAAATAGTACTATTCGCATCATCCATATATTAATAGTCCCTAAAACAAGAGGGGTGTGGTGAAATTAGATAGATATTGATGACTTAACCAGAGTGGGGAGAATGAAAATGATGAATTAAAGCAAAGGAAGAAAAAGCAGTTTGATAGTAAAAATGTACTAGAATAGAGACGAAAGAGAGAAAAGAAAAAGATAGATAGCTTAAAAATGAAGGATAGATGGAAATGAAATAGCGGTGCAAAGGATGGAGTGGGTGGACCAACCAATAATTTCACATGATTGGGTATTTGATTCTAAAGTAGGATTATGATGATGAATTGATGATGCCTATCAGGCGTACAAATATTAAGATGGACAGTTAGTAACTATGCCAAGAAACTTGAAGAATGTTTTATAAGTTTGATTTTTGCAAGGAAGATGGGATGTTGGAGATAAGGTTTGAGATATGTTCCGGGCTTTAAGGCCCATCAACCACTGAGATATGGGATTTGTGCTTGTAGTTTCTTTTCTTTTCTTTTTTTCTTTTCTTCCTTACCAATGATTCATGTCAGCAAAGCCATCACCTTTGTCTGCACTATCGATACAGTTCTGGTTTTGATTGCAATCTACGTAATCATTTCGGTACTCTTTCTGCGTTATTGTCGTTCATCACCTAGCATCTGCTTCTTTCTCTTTCGATCCATTACCCCACTATTCATTCACTGAAAAAGATTGGAACATCAAATACACAAAAAATCATGTTCAAAAGGTTTTGCTGTAACTAAGGTTGGTAGTGTTTTGCTTCATTAATCATTGGCATATGACACTAGGATTTGAAAATCCAAGTGTGAATCTAAGTCCAATAGTAGATAAAAATAAAAAAATAAAGAACTATATAAAGATGAAAAATCCATTAATTTATTGTTTTAAGGTTTTCGATAAATAATAATATTAAAGGTTATAGTTAGAATAATATGTTATTTGTGTTTGTGTTTTTTTAGTAAAGGGTATTTAGATAAACAAGTTGTCCCGTTAAAATGAATGAGGATCGGAAATGATGTGGTTGTGGTGTTAGATGTCTTAAATGTTTACATAATTTAATGAAAATAATTATTAATTTTAAGTTATGTTTATTTTCTTCAAATTTCTTTTATCCCAAACCGTATAAGTTCTCTTTTTATGCCATTTATTTGATGGCTTTTGCTTCATTTAAAAAATAAGAGACTTGACAAATTTTCATAGACTTTATAGGACATAAAATTAGGCTTAATGTCCTATTTTGTCTCCAGTTTCGCTCGAAAATGTCAAATTAGCCCATTCTTTCAAAAATGCGTAAATTACGTCCTCACTTAATAAAATTTGCATCAATGAAATCCCTTCCGTTAAATCCGTACAAACGGCGTTAATTATTTTTCTCTTTCTTCTACTTAGATAATTAATGCCGTTTGTACGGATTTAACGGAAGGGATTTCATTGATGCAAATTTTATTAAGTGAGGACGTAATTGACGCATTTTTGAAAGGATGGACTAATTTGACATTTTTGAGTGAAACTGGGGACAAAGTAGGATATTAAACCCATAAAATTATAATGAAATTTTGATTTTTGTTTGTCGAATTCACTGTTTTTATGGAAGTCCATATTGATTTTAATCGTCTAGAAAATTAGAACACCAAAATAATATATAATTTAGATTAGAGACTTGGGATCAATTCTTATGATTTGGATTGGGTATACTAGAACAGATATATTTATGGGTGTGTTTTTATAAATTTGGTATATAAACTAAACTCTAAGGTTGGATGCTGATAACTTAAAGTTAATGGATTATTTAATTGAATTGAAAGTTTTTTTTTATAAAAATAAAATAAAATTGACTGGTCCTTTTTGATAAGTTTTTTTAATTATAGTTTTTTTTTAAGTTTAAAGATGAGATATTAATAATTAAACTGATAGGAGATAAATTTTCATACTTGTTAAATACTCTTTATAATAAAATATTTAAAATACATGTAATTGAATTATTCAAGTTAATTGGCTTTATTAGATTTGTGATATTGAATTATTTCAATATTTTTTTTGCATAAATTATCTTGATTATTATAATTGTGCAAGTTTTTTTCTCAAATAAATCTATTTTCATAAAAAATTACACAAATAAAGCTGTTTAAACGTATTTACATATAATTAAACCTGTTTACCAATCACATGTCGCAATTAGGTGTCCGGAACTCAAATTTTGACATATAAAATCGAAAAATTTAAATTACTGACCGTGGTTCCTAAAACATTAATTAATATTCATTTGTACATATTTTATTTTTAAAAAATTGTTTCAGGAGAACAATGGGTAGAGTATTTCAATAAATTTTATTTTTATTTTTTTACTTCTGAAGTTTTTTCAGTTAGTTATATAATTCAAACTTTCCCTCGTCGGGTAATTAATTATTTGATCTTTTGATTTTATTAATCTCTAATTTTTAACATAAGACTGTGTGTAAGAGATTTTGAAAATATTTTTCATCAGATATTTTATAATTTTTACAAAAATATTCCATTTTCTACTCTTTCTGGAAGAGTGCTTTAAAGAATAATGATCTCATAAATTCAACTTAAACAAAAGTCTACAATAATAAGAAAATTGAAAAATTGTTGATATATTCACTTCAACTTCCTTTAAAACATCATCAATACATGTAATTGAACTAGGATAATTCATATTTATACCGTTAATATTCACCTTAAACTAATTAAAAGATGGAAACTGCTTTGTAATATCCATAAATAAAATGAAACTATATTCTATCATCACAAGTTTTAATATTGAAAATTTTCAACACAAAAAAATAACAAACAATATTATTCATATACTTAATATATTTATTCTCAATTATATGTACCAACTTTATAACTTAAGAAAACAACAAAAATAAAAACAATTGAAACCTTAAATATATTTTAGTTTTCTATCCACTAAATCATCTTTATAATTATAATAATAACAATCATTTTAGTTAACGAACTAAAAAACACTACATAAATGAAACAATCAAACTCATATATTGAAAAATTGAAGCTTTTGAAACACTCACTTCAATAATTCCCACAACCACAATTAAATAGTATGAAAATTTAGTTTCATATAAGAATTTGTTCAAATTTGATTTCTCTTCTTTTCTTTTCAATTTTCCGTCACTTTTACTCTATGCTCTCAAACTCTCTCAATATTATTCTTTTTATTTGTAAAAAGTCAACACATTAAAGTTTACGATAATTCACCCATATTCTTCAATCAACCGATTGAGATGACCCGTTAAATTTATAATATTCCTTTTACTTACAAGAAGATAAAAAAAGACTATATTCCATTCAATGAATTAATAAAAGCACCATACTTAACAGAAATCGAAAAGAAAAACCTTCACAATTCTAACCTTTTAAATATTCTAAATTAACTATTATAATATATTATGTTCAGTAAAATGACGATTTAGTGTTTCGTGAAAAAAACAAACTTGATTATAATTATTTAAATTAAAAGAACGTAATGAAAGAAAAATCATGGATGCTAATCATTATTTCCTTAACATAATACAATTAAACTGCAAAAGGGTGAAATATCATGTGCATGATGGAGTTTTTCTATTGTGGCGACTACTTTCCACGTATACTATATACCACATACAATGACACAGCCGCATAGCTTTTGTAGGATTTGTCCGCTTACCAGAGACTTAAAATAAATTACCTAATAATTATATTCTCATTATTAATGAATATCGTTTAATAGATTTAATAAACTTGTTATTCAATCCATAAAAGATTAAGTTGGAGTTTAGATAGATTTAACTTGACTGAAAAAAACTCAATTCAATATACTTAGATTAGATTAAATCGTGGAGTTTTTTTAATATTTACTATAAATACTTTACGTTTTCAAAAATAATAATAATAATAATTTAAACGTTTCTGTATTTTAATAATTAATGTGTCAATTTATTTAAATGATAAAAAAGTTAAAAAATATTTATATAATTTTTTTTATCTGTAGTTAATTATGTTTTTACAGTAAATTATTACTTTCATATTTATAATTAAAAATAATAAAATATTTTTTTGTAAGGAATATTATTTTATAGAAGATACAAATTCAATGGAAATTTTAATATCAAGTAGATTTCTTCTATTAAAGAAAATGACGATATACATCATAAAAATATAGTTACAATAAAAATGCACTTAAACATTTCGATTTCAGCAAATAGAAAAGCATATGATCCTTATGACACGGCTTTGCAATTTATTATAAACTGCCTATGGAAATAACAAAATTTTTAAATACAGACAGCTCAAAATATATTTTTATTAAAAATATCTCTTAAACATAATTTTAAAAGAAATCCTTTTACAAAAGATAAAAATAAGCTTAGTAAAAAATAAGTATACTTTAGTTTGTTTTGGATGCTTTTTTATTACTGCTTTCCATAAAAACTTTCTATCATAGCAATATTAGTAATTTAAGACTTTGTTGTATTTTCCTTTAATGCATTAATTATTTCATTTGTTTCTTGATGAACAATAATAAAAGGGTCCCCACCAAAAACCCTCTCCACTATAAATTGTTCTCTTTGGACCATTCCACATCTCTCTCGCTCTCTCCATTCTTTCATCTTCTACCTCTCACTCCTCTTTGCGCATTGCTGTAGACTGTTCATAAGATTACTGCATCAATTGAACTCTGTTCATTAGATCTTTCTCAGAATATCATGGTCTTAGGTACCTCTAACCTTCATCTAGGTCTTGGTCTTGGCCTCCAAGATCAGTCACAAGAAACATGCATGAAGAGCCATGAACGAAGGCAAAGACAAAGACAAAGCCAGAAAAAGAAGGATTCCGATGAATGTTTTGATTTTCACCGTCGTGCTTCTCCTCCAAGTGCAGTGTCTTCGTTTCTCAACTCATCAAGCATCATCAAGAGAGAGCGAGATGAGTTGGCCGGAGAAGAAATTGAGTTAGAGGTAGAGAAGTTTCCCTCAAACTTAAGAGTTGTGGATCTCGATGAATATGGTTACTCCAAGAAGAAGCTGAGGCTCAGCAAAGAACAATCTGCAGTCTTGGAAGATAGCTTCAAAGAGCATTCTACTCTCACTCTGGTATATTTATTTTTACTACTTTTTCATTTTATCAAACTTCTCTTCCTCCCTTATTACAGATCCTTAAATAGTAAATCTTTTAAAGTTCTTAGACTTTTCTGAATGCACTTATCTCACAATTATTATCAGTTCTCAGTCATTTCTAGTGGATGTACTATTTCATCCATTTCACTTTAGGTGTAGTTTAAGTTTTTCTATGAATTTTTAAATTACTTCTTTTCTAATACAAGAATATTAATCTTATTCCAAATAAATATTAAGACTAATTTCATGAATCAAATAAACCAGAGAGAAACTATGGTTCAGTAACTATTGTTACATTACAAATTATAACCTAAGTGGGAGAAAAATATATATAGTATTTTAAGTTTTATTGAAAAGAATATAAGAATATTTTAGTAAAAGTTTTCAGAATTGGTAAAAGTGTCGTAATAATAATAATAATAATAATAATAATAATAATAATAATAAGGTGAATTTAGAATATATGAATGAGTATATAATCTTATCTTACACTAATTTTATACATGATTATTTTGATTCTTAATATATATCTTGATGTTTTAATTCAGACACAGAAGCAAGGATTGGCAAAGAAACTGAATCTGCGGGCGAGACAAGTGGAAGTATGGTTTCAGAATAGGAGAGCAAGGTGAGTTATAATTTCTCTGATATTTGAACTGCATATTCCCCCAAATACAAATCCACGTTCAGTCTGTATTTCACTCCCTTTTTATAATTTTTAATAAATTTTTAGTAAAACTATCAATGAAGTACTCGTCTATTATAAATAATCATTAAAAAAAATTGTAGATTGATTTATAACAGCCAAATTTTTTCACTTCATAACCTTTAACAAATTATCCACATAAGAATTACCATGATAAAATATAATAAGCACTGTAATTATAATAATTAATAAAAAAAATTATGCTTCTAACTATTTTCTTTATCTTTACATTATTCCATAATTTTAACATAAGTTTTAACAATTTTTTATTTTTATAAAGGTTATAATAATGGTTTTTATTTCCACTTGTTATATTTATGTCTATATATATATATATATATATATATATATATATATATATATATGTGTTTAAAAAACAAAA